ACCTCAGCAACAGTTCTCCTAGGTCTCCAGGCTGCAGCCCACCCTTCAGATTTTGGACTTGCCAGCCTCCATAATGGTGTGAGGATATTCCATAAAATCTGTGTGTGTGTGTGGAGTATGATATGTATATATTCACATGCATCCTATTGGTTTTGTTTCTATGACAAACTCTGGCCAATGGGTACAGGGTTTCCTGTTGGGGTGATGAAAATGTCTTGGAGCCAGTTAATGGTGATGGTTGCGCAAGATCGTGAATGCACCACATGCCACTGAATTGTACGCTTTCAGATGGTTAACGGTCACTTTTATGTTATGTGAACCTTACTGCAGTAGGAAAAAAAGTAATGATGTTTGAAAAGCAGGCAGCACAGCCCTGACATTTCAGGAGTGCATTCTTACTGCACTCATACTATACACCCATAGCATATCCATAAAAGACAACCTGATGACCAGGCCAAGTCTAGGGTGCGTCCATTTTGCCGTCTGGCTACTTCCACCAGTGTAGAGTAGAAAAGAAGTTGTCTTCTCCTGATGACAGCATTCTGTGGCCAGTCTGGTCCTCATCTGCATACTGAGCTTCCCTGCGTCCTGAACAATTCTGGCTCCTTCTCTGCGTGGCCCCAACACCCCCGGACCTGTATCTGGACACCCTCCCTATTTCACCGTCAGGACCCAACCCCAGGAAGGTAGGTTCTGTGGCTGCTGTCCACGGTGCTGACGGGGATTTGACGGTTGAGTCTAGTTTCAGCACCATGGTCAGAGTCTATGAAGGCAACACAGCCTCCCCCATTTTCTGATATCTCAGTGATCAGGTAGGCATCCGCTGAGCCCCATCTTTGGTCCTCTTCTGTAGACTCCGTGCAGGATTCAGATAAGACATACTCAGTCAGAGCATGAGGGTAACTTGGAAAAATACGGGGGATGGCTGTAGTTGTCAATGATTCAAATTCCCTTCACAATCCATGCATCCTGAATAGGGATAAAGCTGCTCAGAGGCCCGGGATGTTGGTCCCACACTCAGCATCACAGCCACTGGAGCAGACCGGCGTGTCGTATAATGTTCGTTTTCCCCTATCCACCTCAGAACTGTCCTTCACCAGACCAGGTTCAGGGTACCGGATACTGGGTATGACCAAAAGATAATGGACTGGGCTCACCCCAAACCGGTTTCAAAACCTAGATCTGCCTCTTGCCAGCTCTGTGTCCCTGGGAATGTCATTCTGCCTCTCTGAGGCTCACTTTGCTTTTCTGGAAAATGGCAATGATAATGGTGTCTGCTTCAAAGGAAGCAGGTGATCAGAGATTATTCTATTCTGTTTCTCATAGGAAGCAAGCAGTTGGGCTAAGAGCACGAGATCTTGAGCCAGGCATCCTGAGACTTGATCATAGCTCTGCCTTTTATTAACTTTGTGACTTAGGGAAAGTCACCCGATTGCCTCTACTTTGTCATCTATCCAATGAGGATAATGCCAGCACCTGCTTTTTGGGGTTTTGGTGAGAAACGAAATAGTTCGTACACGAGATGTGTGGAGTAGAGTGCCTGGCATTTACTTAGCGCTCATTCAAGGATGTGAGCTGTTGTGACTATTACCGTCATCGTCACGTGCCTAGACACAGCCTGGCAAACCGCTTGGGTTTGGTAATGATAGCTGCCTTTATGAATTATTGTTAGGATTTCTGTGAGGTTCCTTGGACCTCTGACACGGATGAAGAAACTAAAGCCACAAGTTGAAAAGTGGCTTGCCGGGGTCACACAGGCAAGAGCTCCAAGCCAGGGCTGGCTGACACCAGTGCACAGGCTTTGGTCACATTCCCGCCTGCCCACATTTAGCAGAAGGGCAGGAGGGACCTTAGGAATCCCCGACCCACCCTCAGGTGGAAGACCGAGGCTCGTGGTACTCTGGCCAGGAGTTTGCAGCAATTATCTCCTGGCCCTTCCCTATTTCCTCCACTTTGCCAGTTGTGCCAGGATACTCATTTCCTTCACAGAACCTGCAAAGGATCCCAGGAGCTTTTCCTGCTGGGGTTGTAACCAGAGGGGGAGGGAACTGCAGATGGTCCTTTGGAAACATTGTTGGTTGTCCAGACCATGGGGAGGGGGGAGCTACTGGCATCTAGTTGGTGGGGCCTTGGGAACACCCCACAGTGCACAGGATGGCCCCCAACCCTCCCACCACAAAGAGTGAGCCAGCCCCTAGCGCCAATAGCTTCGAGGTGCAGAAACACTGGTCTATGTGTTTGTAAGATCCCAGCCCAGTTGGAAGGTGGATACTGCAAACTAATTTCATGGGGCTTGGATGGGATGAGGTCATTAAAACCTTATTAGTTAGGGTTATTTTCCTTTCTCTCTTTACAAGGGGGTGGGGGGGGGGGCGGAATTCCCTGGAGGTCCAGTGGTTAGGACTCCGTGCTCTCACTGCCGAGTGCCCAGATTCAATCCCTGGTTGGAGACGAAGATCCCACAAGCCGTGAGGTGTGGCCAAAAAAAAGAAAAATCTTTCCTTTCTCTCTTTGCAAGGAGGATGTATTCAGGTATCATTTCTGTAACTAAAAATTACTTTACAAAAGAAGAAGCAAAAATAGCAGCGAATGTATCCAAGCCAAGGAAAGAAAGAAAACTCCTTGCAAGCTGTGTGTGTTGGGGGGTGGGGGTGGGGATGCATTGGGCGCCAGCTCAGCTGGAAGGAGGAGGGAGCTCCAGAGACAGAGCTCACACCAGACTGGCTGCACTCCCAGGGTTCCCTCTGTTGGCACAGATCCTGTCTCCAGCTCTTCTTCTTTTTTTTTTTTTCTTTCTGGCCTCACTGCATGACTTGCAGGATCTCAGTTCCCTGACCGAGGATCGAACCCTCGCCCCCTGGAGTGGAAGCGTGGAGTCTCAACCGCTGAACCGCCAGGGAAGACATCTGTCTCTGTCTCTCTGTCTCCCTCCCTCCCTCGCTCTCTCTCTCTCACCCCGTCTGTCCCTACCCTCTCTGGCTTCCTCCTCTCTCCCGCTGCATCTAGATGAGGCTCTTTCAAAGTCCTTTGGGTTGTTGGAAATACTTCCTGATGGGAAAACCCGAACCCTGGGTCACTCCCCACTCAGCATCGTCTGCCCACCCCTGAGAAGCTGGGGAAATGCCCAAACTCCACGCATAGGTCACCTTGCTTAGGGTCTCTGCTCTCCGTGGCCTTTGGTAGAGGCCCTGCCATGCTGACTCCGTTTCCTCATCTGCTCAATGGACATAATAACAGCACCTGCCTCATAGGTTGATATGAGGACTAAATGAGGTAATAAGACGGAGTGCTTCGAACAGAGCCCGTACACGGCAAGTGTTCAGCAGACTCGTCCTGCAGTTCGTCTGGGGCTCGGATCTGAACCAGCTTCCCCTCCCTTCCCAGCACAGCTGAACGCCTCACCTCCTCCACCCCTGCCTCTGCCTCACCCGGATCCAGGCCGGTGGAGTAGAGCCCCCGAAGCACCGCCCCACCTGTACACTGACCCAGGCTGCAGTCATCCCTCTATCCTTCCACCTGCTCCTTCAAGAGGCAGCCCCCGCTGCCCTGGGCTAAACCCTCCTCAAGTGCTCTAGACATGGGCTACCCGATACCTGGACCACTGGCCCCCAGTGGCTATTTCCATGTAGAATCAATGAAAATTAAATACAATTAAAATTTCACTTTCTCAGCCCCACTAGCTACATCTCAAGTGCCCAACAGCCACATGTGGCTACTGTACTGGACAGTCCCATCATTCCAGAAAGTTCTGTTGGACAGACCCTTTTCTTCCCTGCTCCTGGGGGTCCTGTCCTTTATAGAACCTACCTCTCCTATATCTTCCATCTCTCCTTCTGAGTCAGGGTCAGCCTGCCTGAGTTCAAATCCTGCCTGCACAACTTTAGGGCTGCATTAGCTAAGTTCCCTAAAAGTTAAGAGACAAACCAAAAAACCCTCTCTGTGCCTCAGTTTCTCCATCTGTAAAGTGGGAATAATAATACCAACCCCCTCCCGCCCATAGAGTTATTGCAAAGATTAAGGTTACATGTGGAAAGATCTTAGAACAGCTCCTAAAAAATTCTAAGCCCTTGATAAATGTTCGCTGCTATTACTGTTGTTATATACTTTCTTCCAAATGCTGAAGTAAGCTCAAGCCCCCTCTTTAAGTCTGTATGTAGTAGCAATGAATGAGTCCCAAAAGAAACTGCCAAGTGGGAAAAAAGTGCTAGCCCAAAACCATCCAGTAAAAGTTCCTTTGTGTGTTTAAAATGTGTGTTTAATATGTGTTTTCTTAGAGCACCATGTTGATCAGCTGTTCTCAACCCGGGGCAATATCCCCCCTCCAGGGGCCATTTGGAAGCAATGCTGGTCGTCTAAATCCTGGGGAGGGGGAAGCTACTGGCATCTAGTGGGTGGAGCCTTGGGACGCGGCTGAACATCCCACAGTGCACAGGATACTCCCACCACAAAGAACGATCCAGCCCCAAATGCCAAGAGCTCCGAGGTGCAGAAACCCTGGTCTGGGTGTTTGTAAGAGCCCAGCCCATTTGGAAAGTGGATACTGCAAACTAATTTCATGGGGCTTGGATTGGACAAGGTCATCAAAAGTTAAGTCAGAAAGAGAAAAACAAATACCGTATGCAAAAACATATTTATATGGAATCTAAAAAAAAAGTGTTCATGAAGGACCTAGGGGCAGGACGGGAATAAAGACACAGACCTACTAGAGAATGGACTTGAGGACACGGGGAAGGGGAAGGGGAAGCTGGGACAAAGTGAGAGAGCGGCACGGACATATATACACTACCAAACGTAAAATAGATCGCTAGTGGGAAGCAGCAGCATAGCACAGGGAGATCAGCTCGGTGCTTTGTGACCGCCTGGAGGGGTGGGATAGGGAGGGTGGGAGATGCAAGAGGGAGGAGATATGGGGACATATGTATATGTATAGCTGATTCACTTTGTTATAAAGCAGAAACTAACACATCATTGTAAAGCAATTATACTCCAATAAAGATGTTAAAAAAATGTCTATGTAAAAAAAAAAACCACCTTATTAGTCAGGGTTATTTCCCTCTCTCTCTTTACAAGGAGGATATCCTTTATGTAACTAAAAATTACATTTTCAAAAAAGAAACAAAGTAGCAGGAAGTGTATCCAAACCGAGCAAAGAAACCAAACTCCTCCTCTGACCCCTCCCTCTCCCCCCGGATATCCGTCCTGTCTTGCTCTCCTTTCTTTCACAGCAGACTCCCAAGTCCTCTGCACTTTTTCGTCTCCTCACTCTCTCCCTCGCCTCCCCAGCCACAATCTGGCTTACGCCTGCCCAGCCCCCATGGGCAGTTCTCACTCTGGCCACCGGTCACCTCTGGCTTGCCATTAAATCCAGTGGATCTTTTTGTTGTTGTTGTTTAAATCAGACTGAGACTGCGGAGAGGGGACCTGTGCGTCCTTCCAGGGCTTCTGCAGCCCATCTCTCTCCTCCTCCTTCACTTTCTCTGGCTGCTGCCCGGCCCTGGTCCAAGTTCCTTTCCCTTTCCTTATCTCTCAATGTCGCCCTTCTCAGCTGCTTCATCCCAGAACCCTGCTCTTCCCGCACTTCAGCCCAGAACCAGCTACCTAATTTGCGGGGTGCATTGCAAATGAAAATGTGGGGTCCCTTGTTCAAAATGATTAATAATGTGAAGATAGAGCAAACCGTGAAACCAAGTGCAGAGGGCCCTTCCAGGCAGGGCGACCCCCAAGACTGCACAGGTCGCTTGCCCGTGCAGCCGGTCCTGCTTTCCTCTCTTCTGGGCATGGCCTCTAGCAGCTCTTGTATACCTGTTCCTCCTCCCAGGCTCTCCAGCTTGGTGGCCACGCCACCATCCCCCGGGATCTGCCCTCTGAGGGTCCTTGGGGTAGACAGAATGCACCTCTAAAGATATCCAGGCATGAATCCCTGAAACCGATGAATATGTCGTATCATGTAGCAAAGGGACTTTGCACACAAGATTAAAGTTAGGGACCTTAAGACGGGGAGATTATCCTGGCGTGATGGTTCATTTTACTTGTCCGCTTGGCCAGGCTGTAGTACCTGGTTGTTCAACCAAACACTAACCCAGGTATGGCCGGGGAGGTGTTATGTAGGTGTGACTAACCTCTATACCCAGCTGACTCTAGGTAAAGGAGACGGCCCTCGAGAATGTGGGTGGGCCTCACCCAATCAGTGGAAAGGCCTTCACTGCAAAATGGGGAAGAAATTCTGCCTTAAAGACCACAGCATCGGGGACTTCCCTGGCGGTCCGGTGGTTAAGACTCTGCCTTTCCAATGCAGGGGGCGTGGGTTTGATCCCTGGTTGGGGAACTAAGATCCTGCATGCTACGCGGCGGGGCTCAAAACAACCACCAAACCAAACCAGAAACAAAGACCGAGGCGTCAGCTCCTAGCCTGACTGAGAGTTTCCAGTCTGCCTTATGGAATTCAGGCTTGCCAGCCCTTAGCATTGCAAACTCCCAATTCCTTGACATAAATTATGTATACTTCTGTATTAGCTTGTGCTGATTACCAGGTCATATATGAATACATCTCCATTACCGATGGTGATATATGTATAACGCCTGTGTTTTCCAGGTGGGCCGAGCCAAATCACATGAGCCCTAAAAGCAGAGGAGCTTTTCTGGCTGGAGGGAGGAGGGAGATGGGGCAGGCCTGCAAATCAGGGACACCTGAAGCATAAGAGGGGCTCAACTTACCGTTGCCAGAGGACAGACACAGGGAAAACACCGGAAGGATGCAGGCAGCCTCTTGGAGCAGACCAGCCCCCAGCTGACAGCTCAGCAGGTACAAGAGTTTTTTGTTTTGTTTTTGTTTGTTTCTGTTTTTGATGAGATGAAAGCGTTTCGGGACTAGATAGAGGTGATGGTTGTACAACATTGTGAATGTACTAAATGCCACTTTATTTTTTATTAATTAATTTATTAATTAATTAATTAATTTATTTTTGGCTGCGTTGGGTCTTTGTTGCTGCGTACGGGCTTTCTCTAGTTGCCAACTCTAGGGGCCATTCTTCGTTGAGGTGTGAGGGCTTCTCGTTGCCGTGGCTTCTCTTGTTGCGGAGCACGGGCTCTAGGCACGTGGGCTCAGTAGTTGTGGCTCGCGGGCCCTAGAGCGCAGGCAGGCTCCGTATTGTGGCGCACGGGCTTAGATGCTCCGCGGCATGTGGGAATCTTCCCGGACCAGGGCTCGAACCCATGGCAGGTGGAATGTTAACCACTGTGCCACCAGGGAAGTCCCCTACATACCACTTTAAAGTGAGTCATTTTATGTTATGTGAAGCTAACGTCAATAGAAAATAATTACAACTTTTATTTTGTGGCCACGCCACGTGGCATGCAGGATCTTAGTTCCTAGACCAGGGATCGAACCTGTGCCCCCTGCAGTGGAAGCGTAGAGTCTTAACCACTGGACCGCCAGGGAAGTCCCTGGATTGTTGTCACTTTTTGTCTCTGTCCCACTCCTTCAAGATTCAGGGCAAGCCACACCTCCTTGTTATCTATGAAACTAACTCTCTCCCTCTCCGGCCCCAGCATCCCAGCCCCAGCGCACCGCGGAGCCAGCCTCCTCCCCGGGGCCTCTACCTCCCCCAGGTCAGGCCCTCTGGCACACTGGCCGCTGAGGGATCTTCCTCACACCCACATCTGACTCTTCTTGTCGCCGCTAGGCACTGGCACTCGGTGATGTCATGACCTTTCTGTGGACGAGTCGCTCCCGGCAGGGATATTCATCCCGGGAACTCTCCAAAGCAGGGTGAGAGCTGCCCCTCCGAGGTCACATCCATCCTTTTGCTGGTCTTACTGCCTGACCTTGTGTGTTTTTCTCTCTCTCTTTCAAGCCCACACACACTCCCTCAACAGCTGCAATCTGGAAGAAATTATTCTTCTACACAGCCAGACTTCCCCAGTTTCAGGAAATTCCAGGCTGGCAGGGGGAGGGGCCGAGCTGGGGGCCGCCCTGTCCATCCATCCATCCCCCGCCCCGTCTGCCGTGTTCTCTGGGCGGGCGCACACCCAGTGCCAGCCTCCTCCCCTGGCCCACACTCAGCCCGGAGGGGCCTCAGCTTTTCCACCGCTACTTCCTAGTCCTTTAAATCCTAGAGGCAAACTTTTGGGGGATAAGGAAGGCTGGGAGGGACCTACGCCTTAACCCTCTCTGCCCCAGACACACTGAGCTGCACTGGGCGTGACTCTGCGCCCCTTTGGGCTCCTACTATGGCCCCCGAGAGGGGCTGACACTTCAGATCCCGGTGCAGGTAAAGAAGGGACTCCATGCCAGGGTCTGCCCGGGTTGGGGCTCAGACTCCTGGGTCTGAGGGGTGAGGGGCCGGGGGCCTGGACTCCTGGGTCTGAGGGGGGAGGGGCCGG